GCATCAGCACATCAGCTATCGGCAAAGTCATTTTTTGAAATATTCTTAAAATACCACCTATCCATCTGTAATCTACTCTGCATTGTATGAAAGGTTTATCTTGACAAATGCTTCCAATCTGATTCAAAATAACATTTGAGTCAGAACAATAACAGCTCAAAAACGCAGATGCATCCAGTCATTTGCGTATCCATGTGTGCTGCTGACAGGTGTGACTTCTGTTTACTGTTGGAACCTAGTTTGGAGTTCGTAATTCCATCAAAAACAACAGTTTTGTGGTTTTTAATTTTGTTAAGTTCCAAAGGGGAGGTCTTTGTCCTTATTTCAGACCTCACTCATTAATATGTATAAGCCTTTGAATCTCTGGGAGCACTGCAGAGATGAGACTTGCTTTAATGAGTTTGTCGCATCAGTAAATATTAGGGCTGTTTTACAAAAAGGATAAGTTTTAAAAAAATATTTCCTTCTGCCAAAGTCGGCCCTGATCAGTTAATAGTGAGAGAGCAAGACAAATTCCCAGCTTTACTCGTAAATACATTTTTAAATGTACGTTTGTATGCACCAATCTTTGCTATTGACCTTTATGAATATATTGATATTAACTGACCATGTCTGAACCTTAGTTACAGTATAAAAGAGGTGTGTAATCTGCTCTAAATGCTTTTATTAAAACTAATAATTGCAGCTTGGCTTTCTCCCTTCAAGAGAACAGGCAGAGGAACAAATAAGGGAGTTGTTCATCACATAACAGGCAGCAGAGGCATAGCGAAGTAGAAGCACAAGGTGCTTTAGCACACAGCAGCTACAGAGTACTGCTCAGCATAGACACTTCCCCTATTCATGGCATCAATCTGACTGACAGAAACAGACATTCTCAAGAAAGAAACAGCCCACCCACATCCAGGTAAATGCAGCAGGAATAATAACAAGAAGCAACCAGATTCCCAATATAATTTTTGATGACAGGTGAATCTCTATGCCAACACAACTCTTTTAAAACCCCCAACCGCACCCCTACCCCCCACCATACACACTCCCTTACACACACTTAACTGGAACAGTGAGAGCTTAGGAGGCAATCAAAGCACAAGCCTAAAGGAAACCTTTATCCAACCATAAGAGTCAGCCATTTTCTTTATTTCTACAGTAAGACAGCTGTTTTTATTTATTTATTTATTTTTGCACATTAAAGGATCTGTGCTAATGTGTTGGCAGCGCTGAGGCACTCCAAAGGAAGAGACTACACTACTTAAAATATAATGAGGAAACAGTCTTGGCAGATGCAATTGATCTGACTGTTTTATAGCACAGGGATTATCAAAGGATTATCTAACCATAATTATACACCCAGGGTTGACACACAGCTTTCATGTTCGCTCACTGAGTGGCAGCTGAGGTAAGAGAACAACAAGGCACTGAATTAAGGTAAGGGTGTTTGAATGTATTTCAGAGTCTGCAAATGTGAGTTTTGCCTACAAGGGGTAAAGGAGCTCCCTCTGAACCCAAACACTAAGTCACATCACAAACCCCAGACATCCTTATCGGTACCAAACACATGCCGGTAAAGTCAAAGCAAGCGCAGATATCTACTGTGCCGCCAGCAGCAGGACCAACTTTTGGAATCCCCTGAACGGATAATCTGAAAAATCAGGGAGGAGCGTGGCGAAAGCTGGAGACTCCCAGTCATATCTGTTGGGTTTGTGCGCAGCGACATGTAGCATGATCAAGTTTTTTTAAGTTCACTGGCTGACATGAGACATGTTGCTGTATATGGTATTTTTTTCAAAACGTGTCATTCCTCAGTTAAATTGTAACTAGTTTTCAGTTAGCATTTTACAAACTTATTCTTACAACAATGTATTGTTATTTCTTTAATGCCAGAGCGTTCTAATTGGTAGCCTCCTAAAAAGTCTGGCTATTTTCAGAAGCCAATTAAGCAATTAAAAATGAACAAACACAACAATTTTGATTGAAAATAAAGAGGAAATTTGACAGCTTTGTTTTTCCTACTGTTATTGTTCTCAGGATTTCATAGTCCTGTCATTTTACCACCTACGCAGTGCATTATTTGGCAATGACTGATGTGTAACAGCGCAGTAGGAACTTTAACAAACACAGTTACAAAGCTTTTGTAAAACTTTGTCAGTATTATAAACAGTAAAACATGCCGTGAATGAAACCACAGGGATGCAGATCCTGGAACGAGTCAGACTTATGCAGTTAACATGCCTCACATGATGTATGTTGGAGCAGTAAATGCAGCCAAATTTATGCGATGAAAATGGATGAAGATAGATTTATTTACAAGATTCATCTCAAGAGTTTAGATTTTTGGGTTCAGTGCTTGGAGTTTATAAAACATCTTCCTTAGAACATCCTCAGGCACATGAATGGTAATTTAAATTTTGTAAAGGTTATGGAACTAAGGAAAATGTTACCATTTAATCAACATTTATTTCACTACAGTTCTTGTGTTCTTAATATTCCAGCACATTTTAATGTTGTTTCTATCTAAAAAAAACAGTCTTATATTTAGTTTGACTAAATGTCCATTCGAGATAACAATACAAGTATTTTTTTTTATATATAATATGGGAAGTCTCAACAACATTAATGTAGCAGGGTCACTATCACAAAAAAGGTCTCTTTTGATGTCCTCATTTCAATCGCTTAGTCATAAAAAGGTAGCAGAATAATTACACTTGAGATTTATTATAAATAACTAGTACTTTTTCACATACTGGTTTAATGATAATTCTTTAAGATATATTTTCATAAGTTTATGCTGTTTCCTTTTATTGGATGTAGGTTATATTGACATGTCCAACCCAGTGCTCTACTAAATGCAGAGCCTGTGATAAGTTTAGATCATTTGAATAATAATAAGCCGATAACTGAAAAGTAAGTATTTACATTTATAGTTCATTTTATTCATTATATTCATCATATAAAGTGTTTAGTTTGATGTCAAGCGTAACTTGTTGATGCTGCCCTACTGAAATATCCATTGTAGTTAATGTATTTTCAGAAATGTATAAAATAGTGTTAAAAAGCATATGCAACTAGTTAACTGAATCATGTTGGTAATTGAGGTCAACCATGTGCTTATATGATGCTAAGATTAGCTGCAAATGTCTAACCTGTTATTACCCAAACTAGTCTGCCATAACAGGGTGGACATGGCTCATATTAGGAAGGGCATGCAGTTAGACCAGTTACTAATAATATTAAAGATAATCTACAGCCTAACCACGGGTGCCAATGATTAAATGATATTAACTTTCACATAAAAAGATGCCTAACCTTTTGTCATTGTGCGACACATAAGAATTTGACATTTTATCCTACTCTAGGTCAATCAAGATTTCATAAATGATACTGAAAACAATAATTAGAACATTTGTATTACTTTATTTAAAATATATCAGTTTACAAACAAAAAGCTTAATATAACTTTAAGTAATTTGGGAAAGCCTAGATGATGGTGTCATGTCTGTAGGTTTTCATGGATTTATTTCAACTATAGGTGCTTTCAGGTAGCACCTTAAACGTACTGCTTCCTTCGTGACAGTATAGAAAACAACAGAACCAAAACAGGAGACTGTAAGGGAAATTTGTCCACATAAATAAGTTAAATTCATCTTTGAGTACAATTTCTATATTCCTGAAGTGTCAGGTAACGGTTTAAGTATTCTGAGATTAAGATTACACTGTGTACGTGGGGGCTAAAATAATGCTTTTCCAATTTTTTGTACTTTTTGTCATTTAGTTGACCTCACAAAAAATAAAAAATAAATGAAAAAAAATGTAGAGCTACTGAAGCAATTTTGAAAGACATCAGCCAGGAAGGAAAACTGGACACAAATTGTTCTCCCAAATGAACATTGATCCTGAGCACACAGACAAATTAACTTCAAAGCTATCTAGGGGAACAATGACAATGTTTTGAAGTAATCGTCGCAAAGCATTAAACTCAGTCTTTTAGGAAATTGTGAACAAAACTAAAAAAGCAGGAGCAAGACAGGACTCAATTAAAACAACTGAGTCAGGAAGAAGGAGTAATAATGAAAATAACTGTATAATATTAATACAAGCTTGTTGAATAACCCAACTAATACAGGGTACGTTTTACCAATTTCTAAGTAAATGTAGGGAAATGTCTGAAAGAACAAAGTTCAAAAGAGGTCTAAAAACAGTTATCACAAAGTAGGCATTTAGCAAAAATAAATACTTTTACAATCATAGTTGATCTAAAACAAAAAAAAAGTTCAGTGTCAATGCCTAATTTTCATCCAGTATGATGCTGAATAACTTCTGAATAAGTGGCTCTCAATCCTGGTCCTCAATTATCAATGCCCTGTGTGTTTTAGATTTCTCCCTGGTAAAATCTGACTAATATTAAAGAATGGTTAAAAGGCTTCTGCAGTACTTATTGGCTGCTGAGGATGTCATGCAAACATTTGATTCAGATGTGCTGTAACAAAGAGACATCTACAACATGCAGGGCAGCGGTACATTCTGAGCATGTTTGAGAACTACTGTTCTAAATGATCGCTGATTTGTTTGACCTTAATTTAATGACAAAAGCACTATATTATACTAAAATATGTCGATCATAAACCAAAACTACTACTCTAAAGGCTCCCTATATGATTAAAATGGTGACAGTATAGAGCTCTACTGTGTGTGTATTTTGCACCTATTTAAAAGCCTTTTTTTGCATATTTACTAACTTTCTGAAGACTTAAAGTCTGCTTCTAATGTAGCAAAACATCAATTTAAAGTCTGATGAGATTCAAAAATGTGGTATGAATTAAGTTTAGGTTAAGATGGGGGTTAGTGAAATACTGGTAATGGTTAGGGAAAAGAGAATGGAGAGCAGACAATGCAAAGTCTTGATATAGAAAGAAACAAAAACTTTGTGGGTGTGATGGGATATGTTATATGGAAGAGCGAAAGTCTTTAAAGGTTTCACTGACACAAAGGGGTGTGAGGCTCACCTGTTGTGGACGAAATGTTTACATCAATGCTGATCTCAGGGATGCCGCCACCCTTCAGTGCAGCCACACAGGTGTACGTGCCAAAGTCAGTAAACTTCAGGTCTATGATGTCCAGGTTGGTGGTCCCCGGTGAGATGTCAGGGTCCGTCTGAGTAATGACCATGCGCTCTGAACTCCGGAGGGCGCGCCCGTTTTTTAACCAGCTAAATGTCAGCTCCTCTGGGGGCGTCGCTTCAACCTAAAAAAATACATCTTATTGTTACTGGACAAGTAAATTTACTTTTGGTCGGCATTCAATATTTACTTATTAATAAATTCTTTATTCGTTGTACAGACAGACAGATTTTATTTATATGCATGCTGTTATACCTGACAAGATATCTTGACTTCACGTCCAATCTGGATGTTATCATCATTGTGGTAGGGGTCAGGCGTGATCCAGAACCGCCCCTTCTTTAAAGCTGTGAAGGAAACATATTTATGTTTAGAAACTAGACCATTTTTTTTACACATCCTGTGTTGGTCCTAAATAATTAAACACATTTACAGTAGCTTATGGCTCTCCTCGTGATATTGATGCAGTGTTAGAAGTTTACTCACAATAAAGGATGCTATCATTTATAAATAAGCATTTATTCTGTTGCTCATTTTAACCTTTCCAAGTGATCTTACTTGAACATTGAATTACTATTATCTGTCTCTGGGAATCATTTGGTGAATCCACAAGTTTGAGTGTTTCTTAACATTCTCTGCATATCGATTATTTTGTTAAAAGCTTTAATTACAACCCTGTGCTGGTAAACGGCTCATCATGTTTGCTTGTCTATGAGTTAAATTGGTTTTCAAATTACTTCCCCACATGAACACAGTGACCCATCATTTCTCCTAAAATGATGGTAACCCATCATTTCTCCTAAAATATATTCTAATCTTTACATATATTGTTATAAAAACACCATAAAATACACATTTATTTAAAAAAGGAAGTGTAGAGCCCTTCTCTTTCAGTTTACTTAATAACATTAATTTGTATTGACCTATAGTGCTTTCATTCAAAGTGCTGAGCAGCTGCTAAAAGATACAAAAGAAGACAATACAGAGTAAAACAATAATTAAACTGATAAAAAACAGAAAAAAAGAAACCTTCCTTTATTATAAAGAAGTTCAAGTTATGCATGTTTGCATCGAGCCTCTCTGAAATTTAATCGTTTTTACAAATATAGCTTGGTATAGAGACAATGTTTCCTGACTGCCTTGCATATAAATGTAGAGAGGTGGTGTGAAATTTATATGTTTACTATAAATGAACACTAATCAGTTTACTTTATCCCATTCCTTTTCAAGCCTTGTTTTTTGTTTTGTTTTTGTTACTCATATTATGACTCCTGAGTTTAAATTGATGAACTGGCATTCATTTGTGTGATCCAATGCATGTAATGCATGTATGTCTAATAATAAAAAAAAAAAAAAAGATATTGTGCAAGACTCAAACTGCATCTTGGCCTCGTCTGTAAACTGGTTCTGAAAAATTCTGAATACTTACTCTTTAGGAGGAAATAGCAAGCAAAAGCCCAAAACCCTGACTGAAGGGCATCATTATTTATCCTTGTATAACCCTCATTGAATTAACCACTCAACTATCACCAGAACCGGTACACTCATTGAGCTTAACAAAAAACTAATGGACCAGTATAACAAGATAATTAAATCTTTTCAACAAAGACTAACCTTGGGTGTTAAACTAGTCTTACTTTAGAGTTGCATTCAAGCTGCAAAGAAGTTACATTTATTTAATCATTTTATAATAACAGCACTCTTGCTCATTCCTGGTCTGCATCTATTATCCCACACCACACTTTCTTATAGTACCTCCCATCAAACCAAGACAATGGTGCATAACGTTTTCAACCTAAGTGTTAAACCAAATGTTATAAGTGCATAAAATCCACAGAGTCCTTTTCTGTCTTTCTTTTAGGATCCAAAGAAGTCCTCCTTTCAACCCCATCGTATTTTACTTTAGATATAAACATATAAATACATTTGGAGACTAAGTCCAACTTGCTGATAGAAACGGCAAAAACAGTTGTTAGTGAAATCCCTGAATAATAAATTATTTATAAACAAAACAATTTCAGTGGCTACCATTTATATAATAACATTTCATATAAATAATTGATTCATAATTATTAACCAGAATTAGACATTTATTCATTAGATTAAACAACTTTTGTTACATGAAACTTAAATTAGATTTCCTTTGTATGAAGAGGCATTTGTCTCAGTGCAGCTATGGAAAAACCTGTTTTCTCCCACGCTTTTGTACTTTTTGAAAAATCTTCTCTATAAAGACAGCGGACAAATTCACCAGACAAATTATTTCCTTCCATTATAAATGTGAATTTATGGAAATTTTGTACCTCATCATTTTCTATATAGTACTGCTAAATAGCAGTGTTTGTATGTCTGCAGACCTCCCCTTTGATTGTTAATGTGTAGGCATCGCTCATACAATAGCATGACCTGCACAGTCAAGGCAATTTTATAAATGTTTTTTAAGCCAGAACACAATGAGGGATGCAATATATTCAAATATGCACAAACTGTTTTCTGGAATAATTTTCAAAAACACCTGAAATTGTCAGAGCTGTGTACTCAAGTTTACTTCAGTTATTATGGAGGCAGAGAAGAGTTTATTTGGCCAGTATGGCTGTTTGATGTTCTTGCTCATGTTTTGCACATGGTTCACTGTGATCTACTTTATTGTTGCAGCTGTTAATCCCTCTGTGTTTAGGGCCTCTCCTGAAAAAATATTTTTCCATACACATTTTACTTGAATAGTTATAGTCTACTATAGTACTACTATAGTCTAGGTAATTGTAGTGGTATAAGTTATAAAATAAAATTATTTTTTGTGTGCAACTGGCTCTAAAAAAAGGGATGTATTTTAACCTATGGAGCTTCTTAAGCATTGATACAAACTATAGGATACTGCTGTATAGATATAGGTACAAAGAGATAACAGAGGCAGAAAGATAACTAACATAAAATTAAGCATTTCTTGTCCAATGGTTTGCAAATTCCCTTTACAAAACAATATTCCTCCTAAATGTTAGGGGAAAAAAGATGATTTCATTATAATACTGCTGTATCGGTTCCAAAGCTTGCATCTCCTGCTTATAAAAAAAAAAAAAAAAAGCTGACGGCACCATGGAAATCTTTTCATCTGGCAATTCCCAAGTGACATTATCATATTCAGTTTCGTAAAGGGAAAACAAAAACAGAAACCACTGTGTCAGATTTAAACACAGGAAATTGAATGTGCAAAACACATTGTGATGCCTGCCAAACTGCACACTGAAGGGGAGATGAGTGACACGCGCCTCCTTGACATGATCTTCCTCCTCACTTTTGAAATCAGCAATGGCAGGTAGAGAATCTGTTTTCTAATACATGGCATGGTGATGCCAAAAAAAAAATAAAAAAGAAATTGCACTCATGTCAATACTCCCCAAACCCCTATGCATTTATTTTCCATTCTTGTACCCACATCCGTCTTCAAAGTTTTAGGCCTTACCTTTCAACATGGATGTGTTTGATTTAATAGTGCTGGCATGGAAAATGTGTCATTTAGTACTATACAGTGTAACACATATGTGTGACCTTTATAGAAACAAAGCAAATGTTATTACTGCCACACAGACATCCATCTCCCATTTGGGTAAAGCTGTACTATAATGTGTACATCCATAACATAGTTTCCGATTTGCCTAAAGATAAGATACATAGCATAAGGTTAATGAGACAAGACAAAGTCCATAGTGGAAGCCATTAAGCAAGTATGTCTGGGAGGAAGCACAAATTTTCTACTACAATGCATGTCAAGGCAAGAAAATATCCTGAGGCAGAGTGGCACACTCGTCGTTCAGTCATCGCTGTACAGCTTGACAGTTTGGAAAGGCGTTTGTATCTCAGTGACAAGCTATGAATGGTTAGTCGCCATGTCATAAGGAAGCATTAAATTCAGGTACACACATGGACTTGAACAACTCTAAAGCTATGCCAAAGCAGGATATTAACAGAATCCATCAGGAGCTCTAGATGGCATAAGTTCTGTTTGATTTATATAAATAAGGTTATAAGCTGTTAAACAAAACAATCCTTTTGAAAGATACGTTTTCAATAATAATTTTACCTGATATTTACTTTTATCTCATTGCTGCTTTTAGTTTGCAGTTTGTATGAGATTTTTTTATACATTCAATTTTTTTTTTTTTTTTTTTAGGTTTGTAGAAATTAGCAACACATACAACAGGATACTTGTCTACTGTAAAAAACATGGATGAAATCTTTTTGCAACGTCTTTCAATCAGTTTATTTGTAAGCGACATCCACATAAGGTCTGCTAAATTCATTATGAATGACAGAATTTATCAGTTCAGTAATACTCATTGGCTTTCAATTCACACTATGCTGTGTTTTTTCAGGTTTATTGATCCGCAAAAGCACTAGACTCTTAAATTAACAGAAAATTGCACATTGGTGAATGTTAAGAATATAGCTTGCAGTTTTAACAAGCTGACAATTAGAATATAGAAAATGCTGGTTGAAGCATTTTAACCTGGATGTTGGTTTAACTGTTGTGAAGAAGTAATTAAAAAGATGTGTTTGTGTTTGATAATGTAGCCTATATGGGTACCATGGATATTTATGTAGTCTTTGCACCATACCTTACACTCTTATCTTTTAGGCCAAATTGAAAAATAAAAATCAAGGAACGGCTATATGGTGGAGCAGTTGGCTGCAGATGCCCAGTAGCAACAAAGTCTATGGTCCAATTCCAGCCAGCAGGATATTTGCATATCCTAGCAGTGCAAGCTGTAGCTCTCCCTGTATGCTCCAATTTACCCACAATCCCCCAGAAAAACATGACTTTTGGGTTTTGAAGGTGCTCAACTCTGTTTCTTGTACTCATCTAACAATTAAAAATATATGGCACACTTGATATCACTATATTATGAAACTGAAACATTAACTCAACAGGTTGAAATATTTATTTATATAAGATTAACTTTCTGTTTTAGAGGTAATTTTCAAGAAAACATTTTAATTAAGTAAAAAAATATCTTTAAATAATTTGCATTTTAACTTCAAGGAGATAAATGTGCTCATAGCAACAATCTTGTTTCCTACATTTTTGAGAATATCCCAGCAATGAATCAAGCATCCTCATTTCCACACAGTCTATTATGCATGATTGCACATATTCATGCATATTTTACAATTTCACCATGTGTTCACCACATTCTAAAAAAAATCATTTCCTGCCATTTTAGTTAAGTATAAATAATGAATAAAAAGTAGGCCTTCTTGTAAATCGACTACACTTGTGTGCAACAGAGATACGCAGATATCACTTCACCTGGTCGTACACAATAGTTCACAACCTGATGCCTAGAAAATT